GGCTGCCTTTTAGTTTATTTCCTTTGCTGTGCAGAAGCTTTTCATTTTGACAAAGTCCCAATAGCTCATTTTTGCTTTTATTTCCCTTGCTTCTGGACATGTGTCTAGTAAGAAGTTGCTATGGCAGAAGTCAAAGAGGTTGCTGCCCATGTTCTCCTCTAGAATTTTGACGAATTCCTGTCTCACATTTAGGTCTTTCATCCATCTTGAATTTATGTTTGTGTATGATGTAAGAAAATGGTCCAGTTTTCCCAATACCATTTGTGAAAGTCTTTTTTCCAATGGATATTCTTTCCTGCTTTGTTGAAGATTAGTTGACCATAGAGTTGTGGGTCCATTTCTGGGTTCTCTATTCTGTTCCACTGATCTATGAGTCTGTTTTTGTGCCAATACCATACTGTCTTGATGATTACAGCTTTGTAATACAGTTTGAGGTCCAGAATTGTGATGCCTACAACTTTGGTTTTCTTTTTCAACATTACTTTGGCTATTCAGGGTCTTTTCTAGCTCCATACAAATTTTAGAACTGTTTGTTCTAACTGTGAAAAATGATGGTGCTATTTTGATAGGAATTGCGCTGAATGTGTAGGGAGACTAGACATTATTTTAACAATATTTGTTCCTCCAATCCGTAAGTATGGAATATTTTTCCATTTCTTTGTGTCTTCAATTTCTTTCAAAAGTGTGCTATAGTTTTCAGAGATCTTTTACCTCTTTGATTAGGTTTATTCCTAGGTATCTTATGGTTTTTGGTGCAATTGTAATTGGGATCGATTCCTTGATTTCTCTTTCTGCTACTTCATTATTGGTGTATAGAAATGCAACAGATTTCTGTACATTGATTTTATATTCTGCAACTTTGCTGAATTCGTGTATCAGTTCTAGCAATTTTTCATGGAGTCTCTCAGGTTTTCTATGGCAACACCTTGATCTTAGCCCAGTGAAACCTGTTTTGGACTTCTGACCTACAGAATTGTAATAGATTTGTGTTCTTTTAAGCCACTAAACTTGCGATAACTTGTTATAGCAGCAATAGAAAACTAATAAATTTGGCAATAAAAAGAAATAAATTATTGATACATGGGTGAGCCTTGAATACATTATGCTAACTGGAAAAAGCCAGTCACAAAAAGCTACAAGTATGATGAATGTATGATTCTATTTATATGAAATGTCCCTAATAGGCAAATCTACAGAGACAGAAAAAAAGATTAGTGGTTGCAAAGTGCTGACAGATTTGGAGAAAAATGGAGAACAACTGGTTAATATATACGAGGTTTCTTTCTGCAGTGATGAAAATGTTCTAAAATGGATCTTGGTGATCACTGCAAAACTGTGAATATAGTATATGATTTGTATGGTATGTGAATTGTATCTAATTAAAGCTGCTTTTAAAAAAAGAAACCTTGGGACGCCTGGGTGGTTCAGTCAGTAAAGTACCTGCCTTCGGCTCAGGTCATGATCCCAGGGTCCTGGGATAGAGCTCCGCATCGAGCTATTTGCTCAGTGGGGAGCCTGCTTCTCCCTCTGCCTGCGGCTCCCCGGGCTTGTATGCATGCACACTCTCGCTCTCTGACAATTAAATAAATAAAATCTTTAAAAAAAAATAAGGGGCACCTGGGAGGCTCAGTCATTATGAGTCTGCCTTCAGCTCAGGTCATGATCCCACGGTCCTGGGATCAAGCTCCGCATCAGGCTCCCTGCTCTGAGGGAAGCCTGCTTCTCCCTCTCCCACTCCCCCTGCTTGTGTTCCCTCTCTCACTATGTCTCTCTCTGTCAAATAAGTAAATAAAAAATCTTTTGGGGAAAAAAAAAAACAGAAACCTGTGTTTTCTTCTAACAGTGTGGCCAGAATTCTAAAGAAATGTAGGATAAAACAAACACATGCAGACCAAAAAAAGCAGAGTTAAAAACTAGTAGACCTTTTTGGGGCGCCTGGGTGGCTCAGATGGTTAAGCATCCGCCTTCGGCTCAGGTCATGACCCCAGGGTCCTGGGATCGAGCCCCACATCGGGCTCCTGGCTCAGCAGGGAGCCTGCTTCTCCTTCTCCCTCTGCCTCTGCCTCTCTCCTTGCTCATGCTCTCTCTCTCTCTGTATCTGTCTCAAATGAATAAATAAAATCTTTAAAAATAAATGAATAAATAAAAACTAGTAGATCTTTTTAACAACAAAAAGACAATCAATAAAACAATCCATTAAAGGGGTGCCTGGGTGGCTCAGTCGTTAAGTGTCTGCCTTTGGCTCAGGTCATGGTCCCAGGGTCCTGGGATCGAGCCCCGCATCGGGCTCCCTGCTCAGCGCAAAGCCTGCTTCTCCCTCTCCTACTCCCCTTGCTTGTGTTCCCTCTCTCACTGTCTGTCCCTGTCAAATAAATAAATAAAATATTTTAATAAATAAATAAATAATAAAACAATCCATTAAAAACCAGGCAAAGAACTTGAATAGATATTTCTCCAAAGATACAAATAGCCAATAAGCACATGAAAGGATGCTCATCACTATTCATAAAAGAAATGGAAATCAAAACCACAATGAAAAACCAATCACACCTACTAGGATATCTACAATCAAAACAAAACAAAATAGAAAATAATAAGTGTTGCTGAGGACGTGGAGAAACTGGAACCCTCACACATTGCTGGTGGGAATGTAAAACAGTGCAGCAGCAGTTGTCGAAAACATTTTGGTAGTTCTTCAAAAAGTTAAACGTAGAATTACCGTATGACCCAGCAATTCCAGTCCTAGAAAAATGAACACAGGGACTCAAATAGAAACTTGCATGCCTGTGTTCATAGCAGCATTATTCACAACAGCCAGAAAGTGAAAACAACCCAAGTATCCATCAAAAAAGTGAATGGATAAACAAACTGTGGTGTATACATACAAATGCATGTTATTCAACCATACAAAGTCATGAAGTTCTGACACATGCTACAACACAGATGACCCTTGAAAATATTATGCTAAGTGAAATAAGCCAGAAACAAAAGGGCAAATATTGTCTGATTCCACTTATACGAGGTAACTAGAAGTCAAATTTATGAAGATAGAAAGTACAGTAGTAGTTACAAGGGAGTGGGTGAAGGAGGGAATAGAGAATTACTGCTTAATGGTGGTTATAGACTTTGAGGTAATGAAAAAGTTTCCAACTGAAAACAGTGGTGATCGTTGCACAATAGCATGAGTATAATTAAAGTCACTTATTTTGCAAACTTAAAAATGGTAAATAGCAAATTTTATGTTATATATTTTTTACCACAATAAAAAAAGGAAAAAAACCTGGTGACAGATGGTGACTACACTTAATATCATAAGCATGACATACCGTATGTAATTGTCAGATCACTGTGTGTTGTATACCAGAAATTAATATAATATTGTATGTCAACTACAACAACCAAAAAGGAGAGGGAAAAAGAATTTGTAGGGCGCCTGGGTGGCTCAGTCGTTAAGCGTCTGCCTTCGGCTCAGGTCATGATCCCAGGGTCCTGGAATCGAGTCCCACATCGGGCTCCCTGCTCGGCAGGAAGCCTGCTTCTCCCTCTCCCGCTCCCCTTGCTTGTGTTCCTGTTCTCGCTGTCTCTCTCTGTCATATAAATAAATAAAATCTTTAAAAATAAAATAAAATAAATAAAATTAAAAAAAAGAATTTGTAGACTTTAATCCCCATACCATGAATGGATCAGAAAACTGTAGAGCAGCAGGAAATGTGGACTGCCCATTTTATACACCTTTATATACTATCTATATAAATAAGACCTTTGGTCTTAGACATAAGACCAAAAACAATCCTTTCTCTTAGTAGTAAAAAATCAAGACTGCTTTAGGGGCACCTGGCTAGCTCCGTCGGTAGAGCATGCGACTCTTCATCTCGAGAGTTCATGAATTCAAGCCTCACATTGGACATAGAGTTTACTTAAAAAAAAAAAAAAAAATGGAGGTGAGGTACTGCTTTAAGCATTTACTTTTTATAGATAAAAATGTAAGGAAATGGGGGCAACCGGGCTGGCTCAGTCAGTGGAGCATGAGACTCTTGATCTCGGGGTTGTGAGTTCGAGCCCCACACTGGGTGTAGAGATTATTTAAAAAATAAAATAAAATCTTAAAAAAAAAAAAGGAATGTCCAGAATTGTTATACAGATTATTACTTACGTGTTTACTCCTTAAATCACCTTATCTAAAGTTTCTTTTTTTAAGATTTCATTTTCTTAAATGTTTTATTTAAATTCAATTTAGTTAACATATACTGTATTATTACTTTCAAGGGTAGAATTTAGTGATTCATCAGATGCATATAACACCCAGTGCTCATTACATCAAGTACCCTCCTTAATGCCCAGCACCCAATTACCTCATCCCTCCACCCATCTCCCCTCCAGCAACCCTCAGTTTGTTCCCTATAGTTGAGAGTCTCTTATGGTTTGCCTCCCTCTCTGTTTTTATCTTATTTTTCCTTCCCTTTCCCTATGTTCATCTGTTTTGTTTCTTAAATTCCACATGTGAGTGAAATCATGATATTCTGTCTTTCTCTAGCTGACTTATTTTGCTTACCATAATACCCTCTAGTTCCATCCACAAGATTTTTTTTAAGTAATCTCTACACCCATGGTGGGGCTTGAACTCATAACCCTAGATCAAGAGTCGCATGCTCTTCCAACTGAGGAAGCCAGGCGCCCCTTATCTAAGTTTTCATTTATGTGGTAACTTTAAAAAGAATACTGATTAGAATAATTTATTTTTACAAGAATATCCACCCTCTCCCTCACAGAGGTATTTTTTACTGTTAACAGAAGTTTATCCTATAGAGCCAACTGCAAGTCATTCCTTGAAAAAGAAAAAAAAAATTATGTAATCATTACTGTAAAGTTTTTGGAAGACTTTATCAAAGATACTAAAAATTCCTTCAGGCAGTAAGTGTTGTTAACTTTTTAAATGAAATGTTTAAAAAAAAAATGCATCCTTCTCTATATTATGCTTTTTTTTTTTTTTTTTTTTTTACCTCAAATAATTTTACGTCTGGACTCATCTTTGTATTCTCTTCATTTGGACTTGGATTACTTCTCCCTGGTGGTATAAATTTTAGTTTTTTGAAGGGATTCCCCTGCAACTGACTTGGTGCTGCAGATCGTCTCATATTCAGCAATGCTGACCTAAAAAATACCCAAAACAGAAATCATCCATGAATCTGATAGAATTAACTCCAAACATGAAAATAGATCATCACTACAACCATATCTTTAAAAATGTAACAGAATAAACGTGTAAAAAACCTTGGAAAACAAGTTTCCCACTAGGGATATTTTATTTTCATCACAAAGGGTTACTGAAAAGAATCGAAGACTTAAATTGAATGGTGTAAACTTGAGCATATGGATTTTGATAATACTATAGATTAGATAATGATAAAGTAGTCTTTGAAGGGTGCAACCATTAAACCTCTAGGAGCAAGAACAGCCAAGAACAGCAACAGACCTGGTTTTCGGCTTCCTACTACCGTTAAGGAGCAGTTACACTTCGTGACTTAAGTCGCTCCTCTGACTTTGTGGCCCCGTTTAAAGTGTCCACAGACATCGTCTATTAATTAACCGGCAAATACCGTGCAGGCTAACGTAGATTAGTCCTGGTGGAAATACACCCAAGCACCGCAGAAGGAAAGCCGGCGGACCGCTGAGAGACCACCGCCCACAGTCGCCTCTCCCTGGGACCTTCCCACCACAAGCACCGCTACCGCCAGCCTCCGCACCAGCCCACCCCGTGGCCAAGAGCGAGGCCGCCCCTCACACTTCAGCACCCGCCTCCCCGCCCCGCCCCCCGCCTTCCCCCGGCCGCTCCGCCGCCTTCCTTCCCTCCCCCCGGAGGCCGGCTTCGGCGCCTCTCCCCACTTTGTCCCGCACGAGCCCGCAGGCTGCCTCAGCCCCACAAGACTTCCCCTCCAAGAACGTACCGTTAAAGATCCGACAGAAGTCGGGCGTCATCCGAGAAAAAAGTCGGGTAGACAGACACCTCTTCAACGGAGGTTAAGGCTCCCGCCTCGGCGCAGCCTATAGCGGACAAGCTAGCCGAGCGTGCGCACTACCTTTCTGCGGCTGCGCCTCCTTCAGCCTGACTCTGATTGGATGAACTTAACTGCGCATGTCTCTTTGCGTTTCCCTTTAAGCATTTGTAGTTTCAGATTTATGGTTCAATTAAAAAATATTTACTTGGAAAAATATTTGTTTTTTATTGATTGATTGCCTACTGTCACATGCTGTAGGTGCTGATACAGACCTCATTTTAGAACAGACGACGCATACTTCTTAAATCTAAGAACATCTACATGGATGTGTTTAGGCAGTTAGATGGTCTGCATAATACTATGTGCTTGGAAAAATAGTATGCAAATATACTTTACCATAAAGTTCTTAAATTATGCAGCATTTTAGGAATGAAGTGACTTTAGCAACGTTGTTAAAATAATATAGGCCTTTAAAGTACCTGGCACACTTTTTTTTTTTTTTTTTAAGATTTTATTTATTTTTTTGTCAGAGAGAGAGCGAGAGCAGGAACACAAGCAGGGGGAGTGGGAGAGGGAGAAGCAGGCTTCCCGCCGAGCAGGGAGCCCGATGTGGGACTCGATCCCAGGACCCTGGGATCATGACCTCAGCCGAAGGCAGACGCTTAATGACTGAGCCACCCAGGCGCCCAGTACCTGGCACATTTTAAAAATAAATAAATAAAGTACTTGGCACAAATAGGCAAACTAACGTTTTAGAAGTTAGTTTGACACCTTTTAATGCAGTGACAAGGCAGAGAAATATATAGGTCATAGGCTTTTTAATGTAAAATAATCTCCAGGGGCACCTTGGTGACTCAGTTGCTTAAGCCTCTTTGACTCTTGGCTTCAGCTAAGATCATGATCTCAGAGACCTGGCATCCAGCCACCTGTGGGCTCCCTGCTCAGTGGGGAGTCTCCTTCTTCCTCTCTCTGTCCCTCTGCCCCTTCCTCCCCACTCATGTTCGCTCTCTCTCACTCTCAAATAAGTAAATAAAATCTATATTTAAAAAAAAAAGTATCTCCAAACCAGATCACTGCCTGTATTACCTATAAAAATATTCCAGTTTAAACAAAACACTTAGAAATGCATGAATAGGGACACCTGGGTTATTCAGTCCGTGAGCACTGGACTCTTGATCTCAGCTCAGGTCTCGATCTCAGGGTCATGGGTTCAAGCCCCACCTTGGGCATGTTGGGTGTGGAGCCCACTTGAAAAAAAAAAAGTGTGAATAGAATAATTTTCATAATTTAGCTTGATTTTCAAAAGCCATTCTAGGGGCGCCTGGGTGGTTCAATTGGTTAAGCATCCCACTAATGATTTTGGCTCAGGTCATGATCTCAGGGTCATGAAATCAAACCCCACAATGGAGGCTCAGCATGGAGCCTGTTTAAGACTCTCTCCTCCCTCTGCCCCTCCTCACTTACATTCTCTCAAAAAAAAAAAAAGGCATTTACTCTAAAATATATGTGAAGAATTAGGGAATATTAAATTTTACCGAACTGTGGTAGACTGGGTATCATTTTTTTTTTAATTTTATTTTATTTTTAAGTAAACTCTATACCCAATGTGGGGCTTTAACTCAGACCCTGAGATCAAGAATCACATGCTCTATCAACTGAGCCAGCCAAGTGCCCCTGTATCATTTTTTTATATACTATATTGTTACAAATTTTTGGTCTTTATTTTAGCAAAATTAGTGTTTTAAATAAAGATGTTATGAGTTATATAACAGCAAACATTAGGATTAATTTTCTACAATAAAGATAAGGACAGGGGGTGCCTGGGGGTGGCTCAGTCAGTTAAGCGTCTGCCTTTGGCTCAAGTCATGATCCCAGGGTCCTCAATGGAGCCCCGCATCAGGCTCCCTGCTCCATGGGGAGCCTGCTTCTCCCTCTCCCTCTGCTGCTCCCTCTGCTTGTGCTCTCTCTCTGTCAAATAAATAAATAAAATCTTAAAAAAAAAGATAAGGACAAACAGCAAAATTATAACTGATGAGTATAATCCAAAAGAAGTATAGTACTATTTAGAACACAGCAAATAAAATACTTTTCTTTGAAACAGTAAATTTCAAAAGGTTTATTTATATTTTATAGGAATTATTTATGGGAGGAGAAATCAATCTCACTTTTTATTCTTTCTAACAAAAATTATCATCATGAAATACTCATTTTACTTCACTTAATTATTTTATGGTACTAGATAAAGATGGGCTAGGAAATAAAGGCTAGAAAGTTTTCTGTCATTTTAGAAAGAATGTAACTATTTCCCAATACTAACATATCTTATTACATAAATGATTTGTAATTTTCTGCATTTCAATCATAAAGTCTATCACTTGCATCCAATGATAAAGAAGATAAATGAGTAAACTATATAGTGTTAGAGAATGAAAAGTGGTAAGAAGAAGAGTAAAGCAGAGATGGAAGTACTGAAATTCTATATAGGGTAGCCAGGGAAGGCATCTTTGAACAAAGGTCCTGAAGCAATAAAGCACTGAGGGCCAGTAGGAACAGTCAGAGGGTGGTAGCTGAAGCAAAGTGAGCTCAGAGAGTAGTAGATGAAGTCAAAGAAATAAAAAGGAGGGTGAAAAACCTGTGGGTGATTGTAAGAACTCCAGCTTTTATTCTGAGGCCACTGAAGAGTTTTGAGCTGAGTTAGGAAGCTATTATCATAATTCAGACAAGAGACAACGGTTGCTCGGCATCAGAGGTGGAACAGTTAGAGTCTAGATATGTTTAAATGATAGAAGTCAGATCAGAGGTAGAGCACGAAAGAAACAAAGTAGGGAAGAATGACTCTAAGACTTTTTGGTCTGAGAAATTGGAAGCATGGAGTTGCTGTTTACTGAAAATTTTAAAAAGAGGATAACAAAGGAGTAATGACTGTGGTGGAGAAGGGTATATCAACAGCTCAGTTTGAGTATGTTAAACTTGTGGAGATTACTAGACATCTGGCAGAGATGTCAAGATGCAAATCTGGAGGCGCCTGGGTGGCTCAGTCATTAAGCATCTGCCTTCGGCTCAGGTCATGATCCCAGGGTCCTGGGATCGAGCCCCCATCAGGCTCCCTACTCAGTGGGAGGCCTGCTTCTCCCTCTCCCACTCCCCCTGCTTGTGTGTTCCCTCTCTCGCTTGGGTCTCTCTCTGTCAAATAAATAAATAAAATATTTTAAAAAGAAAGATGCAAATCTGGGTGTCACAGGACAGCTCTGGGTTGGAAAGTTAGAGGAATCAATATGTAGAAATGCTATTTAAAGTTATACACTGAATGAAGACGAGAGTGTAGTTAAAAAAAAAAATCTTCATCCAGGATACAGATATCTTTGGAAACAAATATTTTGATCAATTTTACTTCATTTCTTTCCCTTCTTTAATCATTGAGTAAGTACTAAAATGTTATCCCCACTAAATACTTTTTGTAAGGACATTATACTGAGTCCCCAGGTTCAGTTAACATTAAACCTATCAGAGGTAAAAGCTTCTGTAACTCTTGAGCACTGAGTAATGTATAGAATGTTGAATCATTATATTGTACCCTTAAACTAATATAACACTGTATGTTAATTATGCTTCAATAAAAAATTGTTTTAAGCTTCTGTAACTCTTAATTTTGAATAAATTTTGAATTAACATTATTGGTTATTGGTAGTATTGGTTAATTGATTAGTCAACACCAACATAAGAGCTGAACGTTTCTCCTGGGGGAAGAGTGAAGAGGAGAAAGAGAATTTGGAAACCTCTTTTTACTGTGATTACCCTTCTTTTTTTAGTTGTGTTTATTTCATTTGTCTTTATTTCATTTGTGTAGCCACTACACTTCATCAATTCTGGACTGCTACTTTTTACTTTAACTCTACAATAAATATCTGTAATAACATTTCTCTTCTGACTCATACTCTCCTCCACATCACAGACATTCTGACTTCTGTATTTCAGAATAGATGAGAGAACAGAGGCCCACCAATGATTTAATTTGTTTGTGTCACATAGCACAAGTTAATAAATGGGAAAGGCAGGCTCTTCCCCTAAGTGGCCTGAAGTGATCTCTGAAAATGGTTCGCTATTCACTTGACCCAGAAAACCCTACAAAATCATGCAAACCAAGAGGTTCAAATCTTCGTGTTCACTTTAAGAACACGTGTGAAACTGACCAGGCGATCAAGGATTTGCATATCCAAAAAGTCATCAAAGTAATCTGAAAGATTGACTCTGAAGAAGCAATGTGTGCCATTTCTGTCACTCTAATAGGTGGAGCTGGTAGGTGTGCCCAGGCCAAACAGTGGGGCCGGACCCCGGATCAGTGACCTAAAAACAGTGCTGAATTTTTACTGCGGATGGTTAAAAATGCAGAGTAAAGCTGAACTTAAGGGTTTAGATGTAGATTCTCCAGTCACTGAGCACATCCAGGTGAGAACAAAGCTCCCAAGATGTGGCATAGAACTTACAGGACTTATGGTCAGATTAACCCATACATGAGCTCTCCCTGCCACATTGAAATGATCCTTACTGAAAAAGAGCAGATTGTTCCTAAACCAGAAGAGGAGGTTGCACAAAAGAAAAAGACATCCCAAAAGAAACTGAAACAAAAACTTATGGCCCGAGAGAAAATTCTGCATAAAATAAATGCAAATAAAAGTAAAAACAGGAAAAAAAAAGAATGGGAAAGCCAGTA